CATGTGTTTGAAAGAAAACATAAAATATGTTCATTGTGATCACACGGATGCACCTAGGGGACATTACATTAAGTGCAATGTGCTCAGCACAGACAGACAACTATCATATGATCTCATTTACATGTGGAATCTACAGAAAGCTGAGCTTGTGGAAGGAGAAGGTAGTTGGTGATTTTCAGAGGCTAGGGAGGGGGTGCTAGATGAGACAAGAGACATGCTGACCACTGGGGGAAATATCTTATCTACATCAAGAAGGATGGCTATAGCCAACCATAATGTATAATAAAAGTCAAAACAACTTTTTAGAAAAAAGGGGGCCTTTAGATGTTCTTAGCACAAAGATATAATAAATCTCTGAGGTGATGGAAATACCAGCAAGCCTGATGTAACTATTTCCTAAGTACACATGAATTTGAACAGATTCTTTTGAACTGTAACCATATACAATTATCTGTTATAAGCATGTTAAAAATGATATAGAAATTGGAGTCACTAATTTCACTCTTTACAGATTAACTATAATAAGAGAAAGCTCTTAGCAACTGAAGGTGCTTCTCTTAGCAAACTGAACAAGTACTAATGATCAGAGGAAAAGAAGAAATCAGCACCTACTCTGTACCAGGCACCATTCTAAGCACTTCAGTATACTTACATATACTGGTACCATTATTCTCTCCTTTTTAGAAACTGACAGCTGAGGTTCAAAGAGGTCAAGTGACAACTTTTCATTTCCATTTCCATCAGAAGGCAGTAGAAAGATTAAGATTTTCCCCCATAATGTCTTAGTAAACATCTCTGTATCTCTACAGCTTGGAAAAATACAGGAAGCATTCACAAACTGATGTGTAGCTTAATCCTTTTATAATCTCACAAACATTTCAGAGTGAATTTGATCTTATGTGTTCTTGCATCTTGCTAATTTTAGAGCAAATACTGTGATTCAAAATTCATCATACTGGATATGCTAATAAATGAAATAGATTCTGCAAGTAAGTAGGAAGGTGGATGCATTTTAATTACTGCAAATGTCTTAATTAACTCCTGCTACTAATGATATAATAATTAAGCTTTAAAAATGTTGTAGGGGATACATCTGCAGTTTTTTTCATCAAATGTCATAGGCTAACCATCCGTGAAATCCAGTGAAATACAGAGGTCTAGAATCCAATTTCCAAAGTTCAAACAGGTAAAGCCAAAGTCTCAGACTCTCTGGCAGCATGCTCCTGACATGTACCCCTGCTTCCTGACTACTGATCCTTGTCCTTCACTGTAACTTCTCCCAGGGAGCCTTAGGCATTAGTAGTTAAGTATATATATATATATATATACATATACATATACATATATACATATATATATATAATAGTGATATATATGTATACATATATAGTGACATAAGTATGTATATTCACACTTATATAAGTAGTATCATGTATATATATGTGTGTGTGTGTGTGTGTGTAGTTTAGTGTATATAAAATAGTGATATATGTAAGTAGTATCTACAATGTGTAATATTTTTAATATCATATATGTTAGTACTTCCAAAGTACTTGAGGTTATACCAAACACGATGGGTGGAGTGAATCCGTCTTTGAGTCAGAGGCAAAGGAGCAGTTATGATATCTATAAGTCTGTGAGGACCTGACAGAGCCAATTTCACAGACCAGGGCAGGTTGGAAAATCTAGTCTGAAAGCTATTTCCATGGTGAGTTAAAAATGTCCACCCTCTTTAAAAGAAAGGCTGGAATGTAGAGGTGGAATTTATTTTCCTTTTTACTAAATGGTATTTAGTTCTATGACTTGATTTCAATCAGACAAATGGAGCAAAAGTGAAGTTACATCATTTCCAAGGATAAGCCTTAATGATTAGTAACTTCTACTGCACCCTCCCAAAACACAGATACCACACAAGGTTATGGCATAAGACATGAGACACCAACTGGCAGCTCAGCTGAGCTCCCAGACCAGAACAAGTCAAACCAGCCAGCCATCCTGGATGTTCCAACTCACACCAGCTTTGTATTGGCTTCCTGTGGTGCTGCTTGTGGAAAAGAACTTCCATTTGATCAAAGTCAATACACAAAACCTTAAGAGGTTGCTGCTAACAGGCCAAAGATAGACTCAGGATGAAACCATTCCTATTTGCCTTGAGCTTGAGATTTAACAGTGTAAGTTCTGATGTACCCAGAAACTTCACGATGACTAAAGGGGAAACAACATTCAAATATGATAGCTAACACCAGTGACCCTGGAGCCAGACTGACTGAGTTTGAATCCTAGCTTTGCCTTCTGCTAGGCATTTCCTTCATAGATTTCCTTCTGTATTTCAATTTCACTTTGTGTCAACAGAGATAATAATATTCCTCACCTTACTGATCCATAATATAGATTAAATATTAGTGTCTACATATGCAAAACACTTAGAACAGTGCCTGGTACAGTGTTTACCACATGTTTTCCCTTAATAGTATCATTTATTCCTATTCTGTTCTTCACCCAAGAAATCACCTGCTTACAGCTATGGGGACAGTTCTATAGTTACTGTAGTGAAGGGTAGAACCATAATCCGATTTCCTCATTCTGCTCTATGAAAATGTGGATTGTTACCAGGCCAAAGAAGCAAGAAGATAATAAATTCTAACTCTGGCCTTGTACTCACAATAATGAGAACTAAGAAGCAGAGAGAATGCTCATGTGTCTGTTGCCCCTAATAGAAATACCAAACAAGCAGCCATACTTTATCTGAGTATAAACTACATCTACATGTAAGAAGCCACTGTTTAGGAATTTTATACCTGACTTCTGTTCATGAACAACACTAAGCTTGGGCTTGGAGTGTATTTAGTTCAGTGGTGAAACATTTGCCTGACATGGCCCTGGATTCAACACCCAGTACCAAATACCCTGCAAAGTACCAAGCTTCATATATAGCAAATAGAGTTTTGTGCCTTTCATTTCTGGCATATCTTACCTCATTAGCACCACATTCTTAACAACCTTATTTCTAAACATTATTTTGCAGTTCAATGCAATATTCAGATATTTTAGATGATGATAGTATTTATGTATGTCATAATTAAACACTAGATGACAGTAGAATTGGGTTAGTTTTAGGATTTGGATTATTTCAGAAGGGGAAAGCTGAATCATATGATATATATCATTTGGGGCTTTTTTTGGTCAGTCATGGGGCTTGAACTCTGGGCCTAGGCACTGTCCCTCAGCTCTTCAGGTCAGGGCAGGCATTCTACCACTTGAAACATAGCACCACTTCTGTTTTTCTGGTGGTTAATTGGAGATAAGAGTCTCATGGATGTTCCTGCCTGGGCTGGCTTTGAACTGCGATCCTCCAATCTCAGCCTCCTGAGTAGCTAGGATTATAGGTGTGAACCACCGGCGCCTGGCCATATTATATAAATCTTAAGGAATTGCTTTTGCTAAAATAATTACTAAATTTTTAATAAGGCAAAAGACAGTAATGTAGGATTATAATCTGTTTTAGGATCACAACTGACAAATAATGTTTTGGCTGTGTTCTTTCATCCCTATGTTAAAATGTCATATTAATGACCTGCTTATTTGGTTATAAACTAATATCCATAAAGAATTAACATGTGGTACATGTTTAAATGTTTGAACTTCTAAGCATTTTATCTCAGCTCTTGAGCATCTAACCACTTATTTCGCGTGTATTTCTACTGGTGAAATTATTATAGATATTAACCATAACCTGATCTTTGGACCTGGTCCTATGCTTTCTCCAGACAACTGTGATACATCCATACATAAATTGATACCCAAGATGTTCAGCCAATTACTGGTTCTGAAAACTGTGTTGGGACATGTGCTTGCTTCCTATTCCCAAATGATTTACAAGTGTCAGGTCCCCTTGAGAAAGCTCTTGTTTTCATTTTATGCTTGCTAGTCATACCTTAAAATAGTTAACTGTGAGAGATGCAAATGAACTGCAAACTATATAAATGAAAAAGTTAAAACTAAGACATTTAAATTATTAAGGTAATAACTCAGTCTCCAGGTATTTATGCAAACATTTCATATATGCTATCTTGCCCAAATGTAACCCAAATTTGGTAATTTAGATAAATAGGGAACATTAGATATAACATTTTTCTCTCTCAAATTTTCAATTCCTTCTTCATTTCCCTTCTATCACATTTCTTGTTTCCGTTTATTCTTTTACATCTGATTAACTGCAGCCTCATTCACCACCAAATCTCTTATTCTGCTTTTCTTTTTAATATTTTACCAGCCTACTCAACTTGAATAAGTTTCATGTGAAAAAAAGATAAAAGAAAACGCCTGTATTTCAGGGCATTTGAAGGCCTTCAAATATCATGATATTGTGTTACTGAATAATTTTATGCAAAGGTTTTAAAAATACATGCAATTTTAGTAATATTATTGAGAATAAGTGTTGGGAATACTTCTGCATCCACAAGGTAGTTGAATTCAAAATGAAAAGGCCTAAAATTCAACTATGACGAGATCTCATATAAAAAAGAAAGTCTGAATAGGAGTATTCAGTGAAGAGAGTATTCAGACTAGAGCAGATGGGTTCAAGCAAATTTTCCTTACTATACAGTTCCACTCTACTCTCATCTGTTTCCTGTATGTGGAGATCATCAGAGCTTGTATAAATAAATGGAATATTACTAAATTGTGTAACATTTATAATTAATGAAATTGATTAAATGCAGTATTTGAAATTTTACCAACTTGCTTTTTAGAAGCAAAAAAGTGGCATAAATTAATCCATTAAGTAACAAATTATTAAACCTTTTGGTTAAAATGTCCTTTGAATTTCACAGATTTAAAAAAAATCTTATGGCTTTCTTAAAGCATAGCTTTATAAATCCCAAATCCTGGTTTTACCTCCAGTTTGCATAAAATGTTCTAAAGTAGCCTAAGTAAAACATCCTAAGTCATAACTCAACTGTTAACAAAATTATTTCCGATGAAGTAGATGTTGTGATTACCTGGCAAGGCTGTTTCATTTTAATGGCGATGACGTGGTATCTGTAGCAGCAAAGTTCACAGGTCCACGAGCCCCTCTCACTGATCCACTTGAGCAGACAGAGCTGATGTGTGTACCGCACAGACCCGTCACAGCGGCAGGGATTTAACAGCTCACCCTGAATAGAAAACAGCTCAGTATGAATATGTGTGTCTGCATCTCCATTTCAGAACACAATGCCCACTTTCTTCTCTTTCAAAGCTATTTACCCAGAAAGATACAAGCATCAAGCTATCCCAACCAAAAAAAATCTAATTAAGATTTAATACCTCTGATGGGAATGGAACTAAAGTCTTAAAACGATTCCAAAGATATTAGAGTTATGACATAAATGTTCTACCAACATACGAAAGGTCTGCAAGATACAGCACCCAATACCCTTGAGGGGTAGGCTGTACTATTAAATCTCTTTAATAACTTTTAAGTGCATGGTCAGATGTGTTCCCCAGTCTGCAGTTATTCGTAATCATTGCTTAAGACGAAATGCACGGCATCCCGGAAAGAAGCCTGCGATAGCATTACGCTTTCTTCCCCCTAAATATGGCATTATAAATATTGACCTAGGACCCTATATTTCTGTGAGCTTGCACAATCTTATGCAATGTCCTTACTTTCAAAAATATTAAACCTAATGTGTTCTCCCCCCACCGAGGCATGCATTACCTTTCCTCCACAGGATGACTTTTGTATAAGCCTCTAGTAGTGTTTATAATGTTAAGGCTTTAAAAAGCCTTCAAAAAATATCTTCCTCTTTCTTTTGTAAGAGTTGTAAAACAAAAATGCTTTTCACATCGGTGTGAGATTCAACCACTAATATGTGCGATCAGGAAATAACCTGCTTCTTTTTCTTTCTTTCTTTCTTTCTTTTGATGTATTCGGGATGCACTAGTGGAACCCCGATTTCACCCGAGAGCCCAGGGGCGTGCTTGCGTGCCTAAGCCCAAACCCCTGGTGCTACCCCTTCATCGAAGCACCCTAAGCTTGTCGGCCTCGGTGTGGTTCGGGCTGGCCAGGTATTCCGGCCGGGAAGTCTGCTCTGCCTGCAGGGGAGGCAGCCCGGGCGGGGAGGGCGGGCCGGGCGCTG